TTCCAATTCCTGACATTCTGGGATTCTGTGATTTTGAAAATTTGGTCTAGTGTCCTTTGACCTGTGAAACCCTGGTTTAATTCCCAAAGGAGAAGGTTCTGCGTGGCTGCTCCCAGCCTGGCACTGGCTCGTGAAGCATCAGCGACCAAGGGAAAGCACCAAGTTCATTTTTCTTCAGTGAGCTTTTGTGAGCTTGGAGCTCATACCTGGGAAGATGTTGTACAGACAACGATTCCTGTGTTTGTCCTGGGGGCAAATTTTTAATTATTCTAGGATTTGGTGGGCTAACTGCTTATTTGCTTCTCCCTCCACAGCAATTTACCTAGCAAAGAAGAACATTAAGAGAAAAGGGATTTTAGAAGAATATGAGAAGGTAAGGAGGTGTTGTACTTGTTCCATTGCAAGCCCCTCGTTTGCTACAACTTTAGCCCTGTGTTACTAACACATAGAGCATGGTGAAAAAATCACCTCTTCAATTGCATGAGGTACAGGATAATACTCTGAAGTTAATGATGACTTTAGTGGGGGTAATTGCTCTCCTTGCAGTGGTATTTTTGAGCTGTTGCAATTCACGTAATTACTTTCAGAACAATCCAAATTTCTTGGCTCGGTTGCCGGCCTGGCCTTGTTGAGCCATGGAGAGTCAAGAAAACCCTAGCATGGGAGCGCCTTGTCTAGAATGTTCACACTAACTGCTTTTTAAATTTTTATTCCAGGAACATTACAACATGCTCAATCAGAAAATAAACTACAAGTGGGATTTTGTTATTATGCAGGCCAAAGAGCAGTATAAGTGAGTTGACTTGCATTCCCTTATTTGCATCACTGGGGAGGGCATGAGGAGACAGAGCTTCGTGTCTTGGTACACAGTTAAATTACAGTTTGAAAAAATAAACTGCAGCTTTAAAATAACTTGCAGATGGTCTTTGCACATGTGTAAATGTGCAAGGGGAGGTTTAGATTTAGCACCTCTGAAGAAGCTGTTGTCCGATGCTGCAGGGTGCAAGCCCTCCTTAGAAACAGCTTCTTTTAGCTCAGGGCTGTCCGTGAGCATTTGTGGACCAGGCCGCTGGACTTAGGACCTGTTGCTGGTCTGGTTCAGTTTTATGGCTTGCACATGTCTCGCAGCTGAGCTGAATGGCCTGAATCAAAAAGCAGTAAATGTTCCCAGCAGGGACTTCTGGAGAAGAATCTGAAGTGCATACTTAGGCAGCCAGCCAGAAGGATGATTTTAGGAGATGAATCTTTCAGATTTCCAGGAAAATTAGTAAACGTGAGATGGGATTACTCCTTTGGAGATGATCTTTCTCACTTCTGTGGATTCCTTTTACCTTTGTAACCTCCCAGCACGGCAGGCACTGCCTCCGCTGTTCAGCAGCATTTCTGTCTTTGCTGGGATGGTAGCCAAGTCGTCAGAATACAGCTCATCAGATAACTGTCTCATTAAACACGAGACTGTTGTTCTTGTAAATTGAGGGCAGACTTGGGCTGAGAGATGCCAAATGCAGTTTTAAAGTCAGATGCTGAGACTGTGTCTGAACTAGTAGGTTAAACACGTCTGAGGCTGTTTGTTGGTGATGCTGGGGCAGACTGGTGCAGAACGGCCCACATCCACCCTGTTAACCACAGCAGCGCAGCCACATGCAAACAGCCTTTTGGGAATGCTCCTTTGCCCATGCTAAGTCCCAGATTGTGCCCAGGACTTGTCTGGGAAAGAATTAGTTGGTTCAAGTTCAAACCATACTGGTGCTTCTTCTGTTTAATAGTAGAGGTGATTTGGGTTTTAGTGCCTGGGAACACCACTTGGCCTCTTTTCCAAATAATTTCTGTGAGAAATGCCCCCCTTTATAGGGACGAGACGTGTCCAGGGTGTATCTCTGCGTGGCAGTCCTCAGATGCTGCCTGGGGCCATTCGGGGTGGATAAGCATGAGGCAGCAAGACTGACCGCAAGGAGCGGGTTGTTAGCATAAAACTCCACCAAAGGGCTGTCTGTCTAATAGAAAGAGGATGTGTCTGCTCCCAGCTGAGTGCAGGAAGATGGTGATTTCTCAAAAGCTACAGTCATGTGTGGCCATGTGAACTGCATGATCGGCAGTCCAGAATTAGCTGGGATAAGATGTCAGGAGGCTGCATCAGAGCGTCACGCTGTCACGGTGGGACTCATGAGGCAGGGGAGGCTGGGGCTGTGTCCCTTCTCTGACCCTACTGGTTTTAGGATAGCAAAATCCATTAATTCCTCTGGTAGAGCTAAATCCTGTTCTTGGCTTTGCAGGGCAGGGAAGGAGCGGAAGAAGGCAGACAGGTACGCCCTGGACTGCCAGGAGAGAGCCTACTGGCTTGTGAACAGGACTCCTGTAAGTAGAGGATGGGGGTGTGTGGCATTAGTGCCTCGGTGGTGCCCTCCCTGCAGTCACCTGGGACAAGGTCCCTCACACTAAGGGCATGGCCATGGGCACGACCTAGGGACTGCGCACCTTGTCGCTTCTCCTTGGGGAAAGGGTCAGCCCAGGCCTGCCCTGAGTCCACACCTTTCTCCTTGGTTGCTCTCAAAGGTGCAAGGGAGGGAGGTCTGGCTGCAGCACCCATGCTTGGAAGGGAGGGTTCCCTAATGTAGAGGGGCAGAAGTCCCCCAGCTGTCTGGGAGCTGCTGGCAGTGGAGCTCTTTTGCACTTGGGATTCTCCTCATGCATTTCTGTGAATCACAAACTTTAAAACAAATGAGTTACAAAACTATTGCTGTTTCTTGTTCATAACAGCCCGGCATGCTAGATGTCCTAGAGTATGGATTAGACCGCGTGACGGATCCCAGTGAAAATAAGGTAAACCAGGTGAGACAGGTTTGGCTTTTTTCACACCTACTGAATTAGTTTGGGAGGACCCAGACACTGTCCCTGGGACTGTGGGTTTTTGGGCTCCACATGTTGAACGAGTCAGCCCAGCTGTGACAGCCAAACAGGCCAGAAGTTGGAGCCGTCTCATTGTCCAGGGTGAGGCCCTCAAAATAGGCTTTGGCAGCATCTTTTGGCTGGAAAATACTTTGTCAGCTTTCTTGCCACACCAGTCAGTGTGAGCGTTTAGCCACAGGACGTGTTTTCTGTGCTGGTGAAGCTGAATTAAGGAATCCTCTACCTCCAGGTGCTTGTTGCTGCCTTTTTATTAGTGCTGAATGAACTCCCTGCAGGGTTGGGGGGTGTAAAGGATCAGAGGAAATGTCCAGGTTTGAAGTAAATGACAGAATACCTCCCAAAGGGCAATGTGTGGCAAGAACATGGGGAAGATTATGTTCTGGATAGGAGACATGAAGTGTTGCCTACAATGCATATGGTATAGCTAGACCATAAAGAAACACAATTAATGAACTGAGTCCATGGAGGCTGTAACTGGATGGGGACCATTTCAGGGTCCAAAGTAAGACAAGGCAGTCAGTGGATGAGGAGCTGGAGCTGCTCTTCTCTTTCTCCATCACTGCTTTTAGGTGATCCTGTATTTGTGCACTTAATGGTGTTCATTTGGGAATGAAGTCAAAGCGTCTCTCGGCAATTAAATGCAAATGTTACTGCAATCACTCTCGCTGTGTTCCCACAACTTCTCATTTTGGTAACAGCCTTTAAACATCTCAACAGCCAGAGACAGGATAATTGCTTTGGCCAACTGTGTTCTGTTGCTATAGAGACTGAAAGTGAGCAACATGTAGGGTTGGGGTGTACTTTATTTTTTCTTGCTGTAAGTAGCAGCTGCTGAAAGCCTTTTTTTTAAGAGAAAAGAAGTGGTGAAGAGGAAGAGGGATAGTATAGAGGAGTAAGCCAACTTCTTGCCCACAGTTTTGCAGCTGACATGGAAGGAGATTTTAGGTTTGCAAACGGTCTGGAAGCCCAGCTGCTTGGTAGCACAGCGGAAGTGAGCTGAGACATCTCCATTCAGTTCCCACCTTGGGCACAGGAGAGATGCTTGATTCCTCCCATCAGTAGAGACTCCAAGGAGGGCCTGAGCCAAAGCACACCAGCTTTGAGGTGACTTCACCTTTGCCAGTAAATGCTGACCCAGACCGTGCTTTATTGGCCGTATCTTACCCCTGCTGAAGGCAGTGCAGGGTTTTATTGATGTTTTCAGTGCACCCAGCCTCTGGCTCTGACATGGGTGAAACGATGAGAGCAGAAAATGAGAGCATGAATCCAGCACCCATTTATTTGATTTCTGTCTCTGTTCCTGCTCAGGCTAGCTTCACTTGTTGGCCAATTAGTTTTCTTTTATCTTGACAACTGAGAAAGGAAATATGCCCAGTGATAGGTAATTTCTGACATCAGTATGACTTCTTTGAAGCTGCTGTTGGCATGAACATCTCTCTTTCACTTGCCTCAACCCCTTTGGTGGGCTGCTCCCTCCCTAATCAATAGAGTCCTGTGGGGATAAACAGGTGCTCAGCCAGACATCTACTCCTTTGAAAGGGACATTTATTACTGACCCATGAGCATCCCTCTCGGTTATAATGAGTTAGGAGTTGGAGTTGGGCAGGAGGAATAAGGCGGAAATAGCTGCCCATTGAACAGCTAATTAAGGGATGCTTTAGCCTTTTGTTACCCAGGTCTCAGGCTCATGATCGAGCCTCACCGCTTAGAGAGTTACCAGGCAACTGCCAGAGCCCGCTGACTCCTATACCTCAGCTTTTGCCTTCCTCTGTAACCAGAGAATCTTTCTGAAAGGTGCTTCAGCTTAGCCAAAAATCACTGCCCTAGATTGAGGGACAACTGAATGAAAGGCTCTGGCTTGTTATACACAGCAAATCAGCCACAGATCATCATCGTCATTGATGGCCTTTCATTTCACAAGTCTCTGTTGGTTTGGCTGCCTGATAAACACATAACTTCTGCTGCATCCATTGCATCTTTTGAAATAACAGAGTTAGAAGCAGATAAACAAGATAGGGAAAAATCGGCAATTTGAATGAAACTGGGTATATGGACTGTTGCAGATCGGTTTGGCCCAAAATGAGCTCTGGATGACAGTGGCCTTGCTTGTCCTTCCCTCCAAGCTCCATCTGGGCACACACACACACAAACAAAAGCTGTTTATGGCCTCTGTAAACACTGAATGGTGGCCAGACAACACATAATGACTGCTATCTCTGCAATGTGGTCAGGAGGACCCACACTGAGAGCAGAGAAGGTCCATGCGAATGGTTTGCTGGAAATCAGCGGCCGTCCCAGCTCTTGTAGGATTTTGTGGTTTCAGCCGTGTGGATCTGCTCCAGGCGGCTCCTGAGCAGGTCTTGGCTGGCTCCCAGTTGAGCTTTGCAGGCTGCATGGGGAGCACTCAGCTGGTGGCAGCGGGGTGTGACGAGGCCGTGCAGGGTGTCCCGGTGCTGTTCCGTGTCTCAGGGAGGAGCACGTGGCACTCGTCTGAGCCAAACTCGGGCCTTTCACTAATTGCCATTTTGATTGGAAGCCTGCAGGGCTGGGGAGCTTATCCGCGGTAATTGCGATAAGTCACTCGTTAAGGGCATTGCAAAATTAATCTCATTATAAGAAGCGACTCTTTTGTTCCAAATATTATTTCCTTCCAATTGAGGGAAGGCGAGTGAGTGGTCCAGGGCACTTTGGCATTGCTGCTGTCAGGAGCTGGGGGTAAGGATGCTGGGGACAACTGACAGTGCCCAGTGGGACACGAAGCTGGAAACTGCTGATGGGAGCACTGTGGGAGAAAGGGAAATGAAATGATGTGCAGGTCTGGGGTGGAATAGCTTACCCACATATAATTTTGGCATTTTAATTCATGCTTTTCTTGCCCTCTGTAACATTTAACTTACTGGGTTCTTTTTCTCTTTTCCACCAGCTGTTTGTCTCATGTGTGTGTGGTGTACTGCCAGCCTCTAAGGCCCCTGTAGAAGATAACACAACTTTACTGCCACGTGAGCTGCCTTCAAGCCATTTTGCCAGCATCCACCTCTCCTTGCCCCACTGCACCAGGCCTGTCCTAGGCACCCACTTGAAAAAACAGCAGAAGAAACAAGGGGCCTTTTAAAACCATTGAATGATTTTAAAGTGTCAGTTTTCCTGAAGTAAATGCCTTGCTTAAGTCCCATCAAATGGAACAGTTTGGCTGGCACTTGTAAATCTGATGGGACCTGGTTTGTATCTCGATTTCCCCAAGGAGTTAATGAACTCATTGTGCAGGAAATAGCTGGCCTGAAACAGAAACAAAGTTCTTTAAAGAGGGCACTTCTAGGACAGTAAATGCAGAGAGTTTCTCTGTGCAAGCAGGTGATTTTTCTTTTGCCTCCCATTTCTGCAGTCTGTCTGAAACACTGATGACACTGTAGAAATGGGGGGAGAAATGGTGTCTCCATGGAAGCTGGCCTGGCATCAGAGGTGCAGCTAAGGGCACAGAAAGGTGAAAAACTGTTATTTCTTCTTTCTCCATCATTTCTAAGATGCCCTGAGAGCATTTGAATCAGCAAAGGAGGCTGTACAGCCCTTTGGCCAATGATCCTGTTACCCAAGAGCTTTTTCCTCCTCTTTATGTGTCAGCCCTTAATCCCTGGCACACAGTTCCTTGCGTGTGGCCAGCAAAGCATCGCTGCTGGTTCAGCTGCTCTCTGCTCTCCTGTTTGTCCCTGGTGACATTATGTGTACTGCAGTAATTCAGAGCTGGCCACAGCATTTTCAGCAGAAAAAGCTTCCTCCCCTTGCAATGCCACAGCGAGGATCTCTGTTAGTCCTGCACTGGCCAGGCTGAGGTTGCATTAGGATCAGCTGGGCTGGCTTCATGGTAGTGCTGTACAGATTGGCTGTTCTGCTGCGTATCTGGCTCCTGCTGCTGAAATGGTGAGTGTGTCCTCTGAAAACCAGCCAAGTTGCAGCAAAATATGCGTATTTTTCTTCCATATAGAGAACAGTTTTTCCCCTCCTGATCAGGACTAGTGACGATGGTTAAAAGGCAAAAGCAGATCTGCACCAGTGTCCCACGATGGTCCCCTCACAAAGCGGCCCTGGGAGAGGGTCTTGCCCAAAATAGGGGCAGCTCAGGTTCTTCTGGGAGAAGCAGGGTGCATGTGACATTGATGCTTCATCCCTCACCGCTCACAAACTACACTTCCCCAAGGCACTCTGCAGACCCGTGTCTGCCACAGGGTCAGTTTGATGGGGTGATTTTGTGCCGCAGATTAATGACATGGCTTTTGTTGCCTAAAACAGGAGATGCAGAGCTGAAACCCTGTGTAAGCATTTAAAGGCGTGCTGGGAGCATCCCTGACTTAGCCTGTCTTTTCCTTCTCCCTCCTCAAGTTTATTTCACACAAAGTAGCTGTGCTTCAAAGGAAGCTGTGTGAATAAACACCCTGCAGTTAATTTCTTGCCTTCAGTTGCTTGCTCATTTGTGGATGACATGGAACATAGTCTGAGTTATTCAAATCGCAACGCAAGCACCCTTTGCACAGCAGATACTGCTGCTGAGGCTTTTAATTGTGGTGTTTATATTTTGCAATGTGTTGGTTCCTGTCTCCTTTAGCTAATATTGAATGATCTAATCTGTGTCTCGTAAACGAATCTATTTTAGCTCCATTAGAATAACCCCTTAATTGAAGGCATACAGACAGCCTGTGATGGAAGAAGCAATGCTAAACAGTAAATACAGCTAATGGAACGATTTACGGTGTGTGGATGCTCTTAGCTTTGATGATACCCTGATTAGCGGAGCTGCTGTGTTTGATTTTAATTGTAATGAGAATTAATTGGAGAGCGCTGCACAACGGCGGCCCTGCGACGGTGTTTTCATGTCTCAAAAAAGGCGCCCACCCCAATGTCATGTTTTTTGTTGTTTCTTTATTTTCCAGAAAAAAACTATGGATGTTTATAGGAGAGAGGTAAGTGGTCCTTCCCTCACTTGTAGCTGTTCATCCTATATGTATTGCTTACATCAGTGTTGCATGGGGGCTCAAAGCTCCCTTCTTAAGGGTATGAGCAGTTATAAAAATGCCTGGCTTTGGCTGGCAGCTCTTGGTCAATTTGCTTTCAGGACATTTCCTGCCTCTGCACCTCCCAGTGACGGGAAGGCTCAAGCAAGGACAGACACCAGGGCTAAAATCCAATAGATCAAAATTAGTGGTGGGGAAATCAGAGAAGATACGTCCAGTGGCGCCAGCGTAGAGACAGCCAAGCATCACTGATAATTACATGCTAAATCATCCAGAGCATTTGTAGGTGCCTAGAATGGTAGCTATTATCCAATTTTTTATCCCTCCAGATAGGAGGGGAGTGCATTTTAATTACTTGCACATTGCAAAATGCTCTTCCGACGTTTGCAGTAAGCTCAGTGAAAGCAGCCGTTTTACTGAGGCAGTTTAGGGGTTCTCTGGTTCCTTGGACATCCAATAATCAGGGAGGAAGCGGTCCCCATGGTAGTTAACGTCACTGCCAGGGAGAGGGCATGTTTGAGGGTCAGATAGAGATGGCCTTCTCTTCACATCTCCATGCTATACTAACCATGGGCATGCCTGATCCCTCACAGATCATGTACTATCAGCAGTCCATCATGAAGTCCAGAGTGAAATCCTCCGTCTCTCTCGGAGGGTAAGTCCTGATTTCCTTCTGTCCACACATTAATTAGTCTCCAGCGCTCATCTCCTAATGAAATGATGAAGCTCTCTGCTCCAGCAGCTGGTGACTCAAAAAATCCTCAGGAAATTTGGATCTCCATCAGGATTGGGTTCAAATCAAATTATTGGTGATGAGGATATGAGCAGCAACTAGAGAGTGCACATGAATCAGAGCATTACATTGATTTAGGAGGAGCTGCAGAGCACTAATCATTAAAAGAACAGAGCAACGTTACCTGACTTGACAGGTTTAGATTTGTAGCTTGATTAGAATATATGGATTGGAGGGAATTATGCAGGTGCCAAATGCCTTGGCATTTCCAGTGAGAAGATAGGATTGAGCACGTCTGTGCCAGACCTGTGGTATGCTTTGTGCAGTAGCGTTGTATATTTGCAGGATCTGTGCCAAGGAGCCTGTTAGCAGCGGGCCCTTGGACAGTGCTCTCCCAGCTTTGAGCACATGAAAGCAGTTTGGCCTGGAAGGAATTTTAAATGCAGAAACCAGATGATTTAATTTTTTTTCAAGAATGAAAAAGGGAGGAAAAAGCTGAAATTCCAGGACATCAGTGAAATCAGTCGTAATTACAAGTCTGACCAACTTGGAAGGTAGCAGGAGTGTTTGTCTGGTTCTGGTTCCTACTGGGACAGAGACATTTTTGCTTTGTGCTGAGCCCTCAGACTCATTTGCAGAGGAATGAGCCATGCAGTAGGTGAGCGGAGGAAAGGAGAGGCTGGGCTGTGCCCTCAGCACTCCCTCACCTCTCCTGGTACCTCTGGAGATCTCTACAGTCTGTGCAACCATTTATTTGCTTGTGATGGTGGTGGCTGCTTGCAGATTACTGTGGTTTTGTTGGGTTCACGTGCAGGCTTGTGAAGTACTCTGAGCAGTTCCTCTCCAATGATCCTCTCCTGTCTGGATGTCTCCCCAGCAACCCCTGGTTAACAGATGACCCTGAGTTCTGGGATCTCAATGCAAAACTGTATGTATTTCTATTCTCTTGCCAGCTTGTGGTTTACACTGACCTTTACCGTGACCTTTACGCTGATAGAAATCAGAAAAGGGAGCCACTGATTTTGTCATGATATCTGGTCTCTGATCATGAGCAGGGAGGTGTTCCCTTTCTGGCATAGCTTGGCCATGCTAAAGAAACTGTCTCTTGGGAATACTCCATGCTGAACTTGCAGCATTATCTTCTTCAAGTGGAGCCTTCCTTAATATCACAGAAATTCCTAAACGGACACATACTGGCAGTCCATCCCTCCTCTGCGATCTCCCTTGGTTTTCCATTCAGAAAGTATTCACTAATTATATAGTGGCATCTCTGGGCTTGAAGTATACAACATATTACTGGTTCTCATTTGAGACCAGCAATCCTGTTAGAGTGATAATATCCCATTAGACAGCCCCAAAGGATACGTTCACAGAAACAAAGCTTTGGGCAGCAACCAGTGCCTCCTCCAGAGCGGGACTGAGTCAAACCTCTGGCAAAGCTGGGCTGTCGTGAGAGAGAGAGCAGGATAAATCCAAGTTAAATCCCCATCCCAGTGTGTACCAAAGTTGTTTAATTACAGCTTACTTAGTGGGCTGACTTCAGGAGCTTATTACAGCATTTGGGAAAACAAGAGAGTGCCAAGAAGTCTCTTGGCATTCCAGCAAAGGGCATTTTGCTTTTAATTAATCTGCCAATTAGATGGGCCACATGAAACTGGCAGTTCTGTTTGCTTTCAACCTGTGCAGAGTGGAAATCCCCACCAAGATGCGTGTGGAGCGATGGGCCTTCAACTTCAGTGAGCTGATCCGAGACCCCAAAGGGCGGCAGAACTTCCAGCTCTTCCTGAAGAAGGAGTTCAGCGGTGGGTCTGGGTCTGCTGTGTCCCTGCCTTTGTCCCTGCCTAGGCCACGCAGCTGAGACAGAGCAGTGGTGGAGATCCCTGCCTTTGCAGTAGGTGCTGTGAGATGAGACAGTGACAAAGTCACAGAGGAAAGGCGGTAGAAGTGGCTCTGGAGGCAATGGCTGTGCAGCCAGTGCATGCAATACCATCTAGTGGCACAGGACACAAAGTACAGCCCAGGGCACTCCCTGTGCCGGAGTCTGGTCCCAGGGAAGCTGGAACTGGCGGGATTCACAAGCTCTTACAGGTGTTGTTTGTCCCTGAGCAGAGAGCAGGGGGAAGCTACTTTCCTCCTACAGTTCCAAGGGGGTTTTCAAGTTGGCTGTAAGAATTGGAGAGACAACTAGGGCCAACACATATTGAGTCAAACAGATTCAGTTTAGGAGTTAATAAATGGAATTGTGTTTTCCTCAGTCTCTCTCTCTGCTGACTGAATCCTTCCTATGCAGGAGAGAATCTGAGTTTCTGGGAAGCCTGTGAGGATCTCAAGTATGGAGACCAATCCAAGGTCAAAGAAAAAGCAGAAGAAATTTATAAGTGAGTGATAGTTTTGCATTCTTAAACATTTTGTGCATGAGTCCTGTCACCTTCTTCCACACATTGTCATTCTCCACATGACTTATTCTTGAGATTTTCTTTGTAAGCTGTCGTCAAATGTGGCTGTCCTATGTCCCCACGTAGGAAAGGAACTGTTGGAGATGAAAGCATAAGTATTATTTTGTTACATAGTTATTTTTGCCTCTCTGTTCTCCACTATTACATTTAGGTTTTAGCATGTAATTTAAATAGAGGTGTGGAACAGCAGAGATCTTGGGGCTGCCATGAGAAGAGTAGAGAGACCCTTTATGCCTCAGTGGGATGAGGTTTGGTTTCCGTTGTGTGTTAACAGTGCAAGAGGAAGTGATGGTGTATTGTCCTGAAGAGGATATTGGCCGCCCAAGATCAGGACAGCAAATTGTAGTGGGGAGCTGAAGGAGCTTTTCCTTTCATGCATAGACAGAGGAATCTCCAGTAATTCTGCAGTTGTTAATGGCACTGTTGATTCCTCCTCCTTGCAGGCTCTTCCTGGCTCCAGGAGCGAGGCGCTGGATTAACATTGATGGCACAACAATGGGCATCACGGTCAACGGCCTCAAGCACCCTCATCGTTATGTTCTAGATGCTGCTCAGACCCACATTTACATGCTGATGAAAAAGGTTTGTTATTTCTTTCCTAAGCCTATGGGGGTTTCCAGGTCTCTGGGCTTTGTGTGCTGTCAGCTGTCACCTCAAGTGGCCTTTGTTTGAAAATCCCTCAAATTTGCTGACTTAAGCAAGCACTGGTTCAGGCCTTTGTATTTTGTTGCTTCTCCTTCCCTCTAGGGCAGCATGTCCCCAGGGTGCTAGAGGTTAGCTGTGTGCTGGAAGTCCTTCTTTCTAGTACAGGCTTGATCACCAGCTCATTTAAAGCCTGTACAACTCTTTTAACTTCACTCAGTATCACTGTGTGTGCCACGTCAGGTATATCTCTATGGTGGAATGCTTGTATCCAGCTGGATTTCAGCAGTGGATGGGAAAGGTAGTAGCAATTGTGATCTAACTGCATGAGTTTTGTACCAAGAGTGTAACCAGACATGGCCCCTCTCAAGTTTTGCTGAGTTTTTTCACACACTTCTCTGTGATTATGTTGCTGGACATCCTTTTTAGGTCTGACTGATGCAGCATATTATGTCATGGCTTTCATTAGATCACAGTGGCCACAAATAACCTGTGACTCCTCCATATGAGCAATGCAAAATACACTTAGCAGGAAGGAGCACTATGGGCCAGAGCAGCAGGTATCGCACATTGACAGTGAAAACAGCAGAACTAGACTGATTTTCACCAGTTGCTGAAAAATTTGGCTCCTGAAACATGAGTACCTCACCTTGCAATGACTGTGAGACACTGCTGGCCTGGGCTAAGCTAAGTTCAGACCTTTTGGTCTGGATCTCACCTGGGAAGCTTTATTGTGAGATGGAAAATCCTGGGAATTTTACACCAAGATGAAAGGGGATCAGTTGAAATAGCTGCATTTGCCTGAAAGATGCAAAGTCCCTTGGGCTGCTGGGGGAGATTATCCAGTTCCCAGCCTCACTGGCTCCTGAGCAGCTGTATTTGGTGGTGATTTTAATAAGGGTGTTTGCAACCCATAACTACCAGTTTCTCATTTTTTTCTCCTAGTAGGACTCCTATGGCCGCTATTTAAAGTCTCCAGTATACAAGGAAATGCTGGCCAAGGCTGTTGTGCCACAAGAGACTGTCAAAAAAAGGCAAGTGAAACTGGATGTAATTGTGGGGTTTGTTTTTCTTCTTGTAGCAAGGGTAGAAAAAGCTCGAGTTGCAGCAAAATTACTATGATTGAGATGCTCGCTTAATTAAATAACATTTTTCACTGAAAAGATGCCTTGCTTTGAGACTGATTATGCTGCGTATTTGTGAGCCCTTTGGAAGTGGCTTGTGTGCAGGCAGAATTGATGATTCCTTGGCTGCCTGGTCTGTTTGGAAAGGCTGTGATTTTGAATTAATCGTGATGCCTTTCCAGGAAGGAGAGAGCGTTGTGTACAGGGCATGGAAAAACTCCTGCCCGTGAAACGTTGGGTGCCAGAGATGACACAGAGCCACCGCAGGGCCCTTGGTGGGTTCTGCTTATACCTGTGAAGTGCAGCTGACAGACAGCTGCATGGGAGCAAACAGCATCTTACCCACGAGTGACTGCTGGCACAAGGCTTGAAATGGCTTTTTCCTAACCAAGGAGAAGGTTGTATAGCAAATTTAGGCCATTTGAACTGCAGTTGCTTCTCGAAGCTGAGCATGCGATGTTGGAGTCAGACTGGGTGGTACCAGTGCTTCTTTCTCTGTTCCTCTTCCACTCGTCAACCTGGCATGCAAGAAAGAGGAATCATGGACTTTTGCACTGTTGTTTCATCTAAAATCCCTTTCAAGTCAGTGGAAAAACCACTCCTGCTGACTTGCCTGGGGTTTGGTTAGATTTTCCCTGAGCCACACATCACAGGGTCGGTGGCAATGCTGGGTGATCCTGGTGATGACTACCTTTGTGTTTGTCAGTGCTTGTTTAGGACACTCAATACTCAGCATCCTGGCTAAACTACAGAGCTAATACCTCATCCAGGGGTGGCTTAACACTTGTTACAACTACTGCTGGTAATGGCTTTGCTGAAGCAGGTAGTGGGTTGTTTTTTTGTGTTATTGCAGACACCAGAAACACTCATCCCTATCTTGATTTTAGCTGAAGGCACTAGAAAAAATTCCACTGGTGGCAGTTTGACTTCACACTGAGTGTTAGTTACGTGTAAACACAACAAAAGGAGTAATGTAGCAGCCATCTCCTGGCTTGGAGTCCCTCACAAGGACCAGGACCAGGTCTGTCTTTATGGTTTTAGCAGTTCTGCAGCTGATGAGCGGCACTGAGTCACTGCTTTTAAACCACCTCGTCCGCATTTGCGCTTCCTTGTTGTGTGGGTGACAGCGGCACATTCGTGTCTGTGTCTGAGCTTGCCCTCCTGGCACATTTACTTCCCAGGGGTGAATTTTTGGTGCCCTTCTGCTTTACTAACACGCTGCTTCTTTCTCTCACTCTCTGCCCAGCTCCAATTTCCCGTTCGGACGCCGCCACCTTCGCTCCAGCCCCAGCCCCATCATCCTGAGGCAGCTGGAGGAAGAGGCCAAAGCCAGAGAAGCTGCCAACACAGTGGACATCACGCAGGTCATGAGCAAGCTGGATCGCAGGAGCCAGCTCAAGCAGGAACCTCCCAAGTAGGCTCTGAGCCCTGCAGGGAAAAGCCAAGCCGCTGAGATTCGTTTCCCCTTCCTGAAGGTGTCAGTGCTGCTTTAGGTTTCCCAGGCCCGCTCTGCCAGCAGCCTGCTTCTGCAGGTTGCCACGGCTTTGGAGCAGCAGGGGGGTGCTGCCGGAGCCAGGCTGCTGGCTGTGCCGGATTTGGGGTGCAGGGCCCTGGCTCTCTCCCCACACACCTTGCAGAGAGGGATGCCTTTTGGCTGCCCTGAGCTCCCCGGGGAGGGTAGGATAGCCTGGCTGCCTCTCCCTACCTCCTGCTCCTCCAGGAGCTGGGGTGGCCCCCATCTCAATGCTTTGGGTTCAAATCAGTCCTCCTTGGAGCAGAGGTGGGTGACCCTGCAGGGAGCAGGGCGAGGTGGCAAACCTTGGAGCATGACTACACTGGGGCGTATCCCCTCAGGGGAACATGCACCCTCCTAAGGCACCCCCTGAGAGGAGCGCACCCCTCACTTCAAGTATCCTGCACCCCCTAGCCAGCGCAAAGGAGCCACAGGCAGAAAAGCAGAGTAGACTTCATGTGAGAACAGCAGGATAGGGGTCTCTGAAGGTTTAGTTGACCCTTTGATTTTAACGGCACTCCCAGTTCCCCCAGCACGTTGGAGACTGCCAGGAGAAAGCTCTGCCCTCCCCTGTGCCTCCCCCGTGATGAGCCAGGCGTGTGGGCGTAGAGAGCCATCGCACAGGAGCCTGCAGGAGGGCTCAAGAGATCCGGCCGTGGCTTTGTGTTGCTTTTATCAAATCCTTCCTGCCTCTTGTCTTGTCTTTTTCCTGCTCTTCTATTTTCTGTCCTTAAAAAACACCTAACAGGAGGTAGTTCCAGTTGTCACTGGCTTGTAGCCCAGAGGCAAGGAAGAACCAGGGCAGAGGTGTTAAGAGCTGATTTCAACTTTAAGTAGTGGAGTTTTTTTCATTTGCTCTGTCTCTTTTGCTCTTTAGAATGAGGCAACCCAAGATACTGCGTAAGTGCTAAAGAGCTCGGGGAGATTCCAGGCTTTGCTGGGAAACCCCAGCATGTCTGGACCAGGCCAGTGATTACCAAGAAGTGGGAAGATTCCTGCAAAGCCCAGTGATGGGAAATGGAGTGGGGCAGAAAAGCTTCCTTGTTTGTTTAAATTTAGGGGAAGTAGAGGGGTTGGCTGGGAAACGCTGAGATCTGGGAAGCTTCTTCACCCCGGTTCATATTGTTCATCTGTTTTTTACTACTGGGATGGTATCACAGGAAATGGGAGATGGAAAAAGCTGGATATGAGTGGGAGCCTTCAGGTACCAGGATGCTGCAGAGCAAACAGGGAGGCAGTGAGGCTATGGCTGTGTCTGAGCAGCTTTGAGCAGTGATTCCTGCCCTCCCGGAGTTATCAGAGGTGGGATCAGGGTTACGTGGTCTGATCTGGTATCGCTGCAGAACTGGTCCCCTTCGCTTTGCGGGAGATTTTCATGACCTCCGTTAACCTAGCAGTGATAAACCTTCTTAGAGGAATTGAAACCAAGTCGCATGAGTCTTTCGCTCTGCTGTCAAGGTCTGCTTGCTCTCTCTGGTCTTACTCCCAGTGGAAGTGACTGCAAATTTTGCAGTGTCTTAAGGGTGAGACCATAAATTTTTCAATTCTGCTTAAAACCACGAGGCTTTTTAAGTGAGGTACTAAGCACCATCGACTTACCTTGATGAAAGAGCACTGAAGGATACTCAAGAACTTGACAGGGTTGGTCAAAAGCTGCTTGGATGTGATGAGCTCTGCAGTCTCCTCAGAGTTTGTATAACATGGAGCACTGAGCATGTTGGGATTGCCAGTATGTAGTAACATGTGGAAGATCAAGTCAGGGTATAAATAATAAATAACAAATCTGTGTGTTCCAGTCAGTCCCTCTGATTCTACTTCTGTTTTGTCTGCAGCTTTGCTTTTTATGTTCTCTCTACCCATTCCTTTCTCGGATTTTTCATCATCTCAGCTTTGCATCACTGTCCCCGTGACATGGGTTAATGCCACATGCTCTGGACTCCCTGTGCTTGTGAAACGCCAGCCCACACTTGCAGGCTCTGTTCTGCTTACAGCCAAACGAGCTGGCATGACCCAGTGTCCCCCTCCTTGGTCCCTTGCTGTTCAGTCCCTGAAGAGGAAGGTTGCCTGGTACAAAGTGTGACCATGGTACAAACTGCACTTCACTTTGTGCCAGCTGAGAAATTGTTTGTTTCCATTGGAAATCAGAGCAATGTGTTGTTTCATTTCTTGGCCGTTGCTTCCGTGCATTCATCTGTCTAATAAAATAAATGTAGAAAATGACAGAAGAGCCGAGTTCATTCTTCTCTGTCTTGTCTCTGTGTTCATCCTTCGCCGTGTCATCTCTCTGCCATGTGTGCATGCGTTTTCTGTGTGTGCCTCTGCTCTCAGCACTCCTCTTTGGACACTTGAGCTGCATTTCATTTCTGCTGGGACTGAGTCCTTGGGAAACGGGGGAACCAGGCACGCAGCATGTCCTCTGCTGATGAATCTGCGCTCAGATGTGTCCTGAGAGCTGAATTAGCTGTGCTGGAGCCTTCACACTGCCAGCCAGGGACGCTGGCTTGTTCAGCACAAGACGTGGCTTCTTGTTTTATCAGTCATCAGGGTTTAGAGCTCAGTGTCCTATTTCTTGGCCACCACAGCAGCACATTGGTGCTTGGGGTGTGACACGGTTATGCCGCTCATAACCAAGATCACATTCTTGGGATAGCAGACTCCGCCGTGCCTGCAGCTAATTGTAAGGAATGAGACGAGCTGGTGTCCCCTCCTGCATCCCAGCGGGTGTGGGGCCGGATCCATCAGCACCCTCTGAGGCCAGTAGCAATGACCCTGCTGCTTTCCATGGACACATTGCGACGCCTCCACTCTCCTGCTGCGGGAGGCCAGGGAAGGGGTCAGGGCTGCGGGAGAGGGGACACAGCCCCAGGCATGGCCAGGTGGCTCTTAGCCACCTCCTGGCTCAGCCCTGGGTCTCCTGGCAGCACTGGCAGCACCCAGAAGCCTTCTCCTCCTGATGAAGCCTGGGGATGCCAGCCACCAGCATGGCACCCCCTGGGCCTGACTGAGCTTCTCTCCTTTTCCTCCCCACAGCCATGCCACCTCACCTCCCCAGTCCCTTGCCTGGCTGTCTACACTGGCACCGGCACCCTGCCATCGCCTCCTGCCTCCCCCGGCCCCCCGGCCCTGCCCCACCGCACCGCCTGCCCCTCGCCC